GTAATATCCAGAATTATCCACAAATATCACGAATTACAATTAATCAACAAACAAGTACTTTGGAAAACCAGACAACAACACAAAATTTATCTTTCTAATCAAATGAATTAATAATTGATCAAGAACCAACACAACAAACTACTAATAATGACAACGGTTTAATACATACATCTTCAACACGACCCCGAAGGTCACTTTCAAATATTCAAAGTGTATCTACCAGAAAAAGAGAACCTCAAAGAACAAGACCCCTTACACTTGCACAAAAAAGAACACAAAACACTGCTATCAATCAAGTTCGTTATGAAGTAATGCAAATGGCCACTTTGGTTATACCACGTAGTCAAGAATCGACTGATGATTTTTTATCTCGTATTTCTGAAACTACCATCGATCGGTCTTTTATTACTGTGCCAATTCCTGCTATAATTACACCTGAGAAACCAACATTACGCTCAATTAATATTCATACCTATTTAGACTGCAAAAATTTTACAGGCCTTTCAATTGCCGAATTTGAAGAAGTTTACGAATTACTCTCTTGTGACACCGCTATTTTTGTTGTTAATTGTGATGTTATACCAAGCTGTATAATGTTATCGGTAAATTTTTTGGAAGTTCCAAGAATACACGTTTATCTTCTTATGATAAAAGATACCACATTAACCCATAAGACGTGTTACTTCTTCTTCTCACAAAAATGAAAAATAACTTTGATTCTTTGGAACTTTTCAATTGTCTAAAAATCGATTTAATTTCACGAAATCATCATTCACTTGATTCTATTGAAAAAAGTAGAAGAAAAGCAAACATTTCCAGTTGGCTTGATTGTGCACTTTTATTATTTGACAAAACTTCTTATAAAATTTTTATTAATTCAATAAAAATGTGCTGATACAATTATCAACTTCGCGTTTGGGAGAAATTCTGGTTATTCTACTTACATCCCCGAATTACATAATATTTATTATGCAGTTGATGGAAGAGATCAACCTGTAAATAATCCTCAGAATGAAATAAGTTTGAGAACTCATTCGGTCGACAAAAGATTCTTTTCCTACAAAAGTAATCACTCTGGTTTGAAAACGGAGTTGGTTGTTAACTATTTTGGAATGGCAGTCAGTCTGATAACACAGATTCCATGCGCGATGAACGACGCAAGTGTATTCAAAATTTACTTTATGGAAACATGTGTTAAAGCTGGGCAATTACTTTTGGCAGATGGAGGATATTCTTCGTGTGACTGTTGTGTCATTCCACGAAGAGAAAATCCCAACATACAATACACAACAGAACAAAAACAGTATTTGGATGAATATAACAATGTTCACTCTTCTTGTAGAATAATCGTTGAAAATGTATTTGGAAGACTGGTGAGCACTTTTAAGATGATGAAGTGCTGATGGACAATGAATCTTTCTTATTATGAATACTACACTATCTTTGCTCATGCCATTCTTAATTATAAAATATCCAAACATCCACTTCGCAACATTCATTTTTACTTGTTTCATAGAGCACTTGTTACTTCACCAGAAAATATGGATCTTTTCACATTTCCTTTACCTTTTACAATTAAAGCCAGAATACATGACTTTCTTGAAGATAATGTCATTAATGCAATAGCAAATGGTGATGAAGAGTTTGAAAAAAGACATTCAAATTAAATACGTTTTTATTTAATTAGCCAGAAAAAAATAAACTTAATAATAGCGATTGTTGTAAAAAATAATATAATTAAAAATGTTATATTAATTAGTTATTCAAAGTAAAATTCAATTTAGTTTTTGTTTAATTTGATTTTTTTAATAAGTTTTGTAGTTATTTAAAAAGTCATTTATATTAAAATAATGAACTTTTGATTCTAGTAAAAAATAATAATTATATAATTCTAATATATAGTTACGTTAGTCATCGATAGTTCAGTTAGCTATTTTATGGTGGGTTAATTAAAGGGGTATATAGTTAACTAATTAATAGGTATTTAAGTTACTTCTCAAATATGAATACAATTTTTTTTAATTATTTAGTTGAATAAAAAATAAAAAAATACAGTGGAAATTCTATTGGTGTGTGGTTTTGACCAATCAAAAGTGACCAACACACCGATAGAATATAATAATTATATAAAATGAAATATCAAAAATAATTACAGTCAAAGGCTTCTATTTGTCGTAATTATAATTGTCGAACTTGCTTAATTGTGGAACAACTGGCCAATCATTTTAGTGTACCACAATTAATTATTTTGTTCTCGAATCTGTAACTTTTGTTGAATTAAAAACTAAATTTTTTATAAAAAATAAATTTCAATATAAAAAGATTTTTCTCAAAATTCACTCATTTACGACAAATAGATACGTTTTTCTGCTGGATTCACGACAAATAAACGCATTTGACTGTATACAATAGTAATAATAATATTATATTAATAATCAAATGAAAATTTATTATTTATTAATAACAAAATAATAAATTATAATAAAATGTTTTTATTGTTTGATAGTTTAATTAAAATATTAATTTTATTCATTTTTTCATGAATTTATTATTAGTTAATAATAAAACAGATATTGTATGTTTTTATTAATTATATAGTTTATCTTATCACACGAAAATTGTTTTCACCAATTCTGTTTATTTTCACATATTAAAAATAATCAAATTCAATTTTAGACTACTTTTCAGTAAAATTATTAGAATCACACCAAAAAGTTGTATAAAAACAATAAAACGTGCTACGGAGAACAGGGCTCTTAAAAACAAAGTTAAAAGACAAGGGTTGATTTTTATTGAATAATGGTTTCAGAAAATTTAAAATAAACTTTTTGATGGCAATTCTAATTTAATGTTTGAATAAAACATAATTGTTTTAACTTGTCTTTTCGATTTTTTGGGGCTTTGTTTTTTTTAGTTGGTATTTAAAAAAATAAAAATAAAAATGGCAAAAGTTTTTCTTTGGTTTTTAATTCAATAAATAAAAATTGGATAATCTGTTGTCTGGTTATAACATAACAACCACAT